ACACAGATTCCTCTCAGAATCTCTCTCCTCCCACACTCTCAGTCATCAGCCAATCACAGCACACTCATCTCCCCCTATCGCCCTCCTTGCATTACTGCAGTCAAACTCAAGATTTAAAGACGCACACATACCAAAACACGAAATCATTACAAGTTTATTTCAAATTAGCAAAGCAAGGGGGAACATATTGTCAGAATAATTGAACACACAATGAATCGATATTCAGTGATCCTGACATACAAGCGTTCTGGGGGTGGTAGTCTATGAACAACTGCTTGATATGCTGCATAAATGGAACCTCCATATGGAGAAGCAGTATATCTGTGAATAGCAGTTAATGGAAGGCGGGCTCTCATCTTCACATCCTCCCTGGGAGTTTCCAGAGCCATTTAGTTAGCCACTGTGGGGATGCCGCCGGATTAAATCCACAATTTATTAAAAACATTTTTATGGTGCTTTCCCACCCAATGGATCGACAGACACCCACTCTTACCTCAGCCTACCTCCAAGGAGCTAAGAGCACTGTACACCGTCCCCCACCTTCCCATTTTACCCTCTCAACAGCCCTGTGAGGCAGGCAACAACTCTGCAAAGAGTGAAAGAGAATAACTGGCTCAAGATCACCCAGTGAGAACCATGGCAGAGTGGGGATTCGAACCCAGAAGAAGAAGAGAAAAAGAGATTGGATTTATACCCCACCCTCCACTCGGAGTCTCAGAATGGCTTACAAATTCTTTTTCCTTCCCCTCCCCACAACAGACACCCTGTGAGGTAGGTGGGGCTGAGAGAGCTCTTGACAGAAACTGCTCTTTCAGGGACAGCTCATCAGAACTATGGCTTGCCCAAGGTCATCCAGCAGCTGCACGTGGAGGAGTGGGGAATCAAACCCGGTTCTCCCAGATTAGAGTCCGCGCACTTAACCACCACACCAAACTGGCCAGATCTCCCTGGTACTAGGCCCTCTCCACAGCTTTGGCCTTCATCGGAAAGGGGCAGAGAATCGTGAAAACACTGTGTGCTTTTCCCA